ATCCCAAATAACGTTGCATTCACCAGAGAAGGGCGAAGTAAGAAGGTGAATATTGATACTTTCCACAACTGCATGCCTTCTCCCATGGAAGCTTATGCATTTCTCTCAACAGGTTTTCATGCACCTAATTCTGTCCCACAGGTCAGAGAATTTGTTCTATTCTGTTTTATTGTTTTATTTCCAGATAGTGAAATGCTAACAAAGCAGCCCTCTATATACTGGGTAAGAAACCAACTACTGAGATGCCTAAGAGGAGTTTATGGGCTCTAAGCTGCTAAAATTTGTGGAGAGGTGCTAATAGGCTCTAAGAAACTATTTGGAAGGATAACATATTGAATGAAAAAAACATTGCAAGAAAACATGTAGCCAGAACTACAACATGTGTAGAGAAAATGCCTCTCTTTGGGGACTACTCCGAATTACCACATGACAAAGATGGAGAATGTTGGTGAATTCTCAGTATATTTTAGCTTCTTTTCACCACCAGCAAAGATACATATGGATAAATTGTTCCTATCTCTTTTCAAAGTAAAGGTATATTTGTATTGTTTCAAAAAAGAAATTATTCTGTTGGAAACTGGAAAAGATTGTGGGATTTAGGGGGTGTGTGATGATTAGTTACATTTTGCTTTTAAAAAGATAATGGGAGAATCAAGTTTTCTCATTTTTCCCTATCACAGCATAGGGATTTAGGGACAGAAAAACTGATAAGTGTTTTTTTTTTTGTTTTGTTTTGTTTTTTTTAAGTCAGGAAAAGAAGCCTGAATCAGTAGTCTAGCTTGCCAAGTGGACTCTGATGTATAAGAAAGATTTGTATTTTCGGGGTTGGGGTTGAGTGGGAGTGGAGGAAAGGATGTGAAGGGGGAAAAAGCAACCAAGGAAAAGCTGCAAATAGTTATGAGGGAGCCAAAAGCGAGAGGCAGAGCCAAGTTCGGGAAGATTTATTCCGTTTTAAAATAAGGATCTCCACTGCTTAGTTAAGCTGAGAAAATGGTTTATGTTAAAATCGCCTGTATGTGGGATAGCTCACTATAAACTTTCGGTTGAGATGACTGACCGACTTAGTCAGTTATAATCATATTGGTCAAAATAGACACAGTTCTTTCTTTGAGTTATGACTATTCAGATAGATTGTTATTACAATTTGTGAGAAATGACTATGATATAAAATTGCACTTGAACAGAAGGTGAGATATCTTAAAAGTAGCCTTATTTTTCACTTTTAAAAAAAGCCTATGGTGAATAGAAAAATCTCCATAAAGAGTCATTTTTCTTTTCAAGTTCCATAGCTGTGCTGAATATGAAAGGCAGAGTTTATCTTCTTATATTCTGTCCTCACAGTTTAGATAAGAAAGGCCACAAGGTTAAATGTCTCTAGTTTATACAACTATACTAGCTCCAGTTGTGGGCTTGGAACTTGGCTGCAGAAACTCGAGTGGGCTCCACTCCAAGCAAAACTGGCTTTTTGTATTTGCAGATCCAGGACAATGAGTTTGCAAAGCAGACCCAATCTCCTGACTGTGACGGACAGCAAATAGATCTGAAAAGATACAGATGGAACCAAAGGCGGATGTAGTTGACCAATGGGTCTTCATTGCAGAGCGTCGCTGCAGGGGGCAGTGGTGGCCACAGCAGCATATCTGATGAGCTGTATGGTCAGTACCACTAGAAGGAGTGGCCTGTCTCTTTGTTCACTTCTCATGAAGGCCTGGTTCACACTGAGTTTTTGTTGGTCAGCCAGCATTCCTGATTTCTGAATGCTGAGTCAAAGTCTCCTTGCTCCCAGCTCCCCTCAGGGCCACCCATATAAGTAGAAAGATGTGGTAATTTACAAAAGAGGAAGTGGTATGGAGCAGGAAAAGCACTTTGCTGCACCAGATAGCTCTTTTCTGTGGCAAATTGCTGAAACATGCCAAACTATAAGAAACAGTGCCCAGACGCTAGCCTGGGAAGAGGTTAGCAACTACTGAGAGGCAGAATACTGTAGTGATTAAAAGTCCTACAGTCATATGTCCAGGATTTGTTTCCCAGCTCCTACAGAACTACATAGGATTTGGGGTAAGTTAGCCAACTTCCTTCTGTGCCTCAGTTTTCTCATTATTAAAATGGTGATAATAACCGTACCCATATCATAAGATTGTTGCCAGGATTAAGTGAGTTAATATAAGTAAAGTACTTAGAATAGTGCCTGGCATACAGTAGTCACTAATAAATGTTAGTTATTTGTAACTTCAGTTCTAATTCTTTTAAAATGCCAGGAGTATTGCCAGCAAGATGCTATTTAAAGGGTATAAGAGTGACACCTGGAATTATTTGCTCTGGAGAGTTCGCCAATGCCTTACATTTCTTATTAGAGATCATTCAAGAATTCAGAGTGAAATAAAATTACGACGGGGTTTGTCATAGGGACCAGAACCATGAACTGGAGAAAGGCCCCGGTTAGAGATAATTGGCTGTAATAAAGGGTAAAGGCTGCGGTATTCTCTATAGTTCTCCTGGTTAGGAGCTAGTTTTGTCTCAGAATTTGGCTCAAAACTGAGTTTCCAGGAGAAGACTCAATGGGTTAGCCTACCTGTGGTGCTAGGTCTGGCTGCAGGGACACCAAACCAGATCAGGTAGCCCAAATGACATCGTGGTGGCAGTATTAAACAGCTGTTGCTTGGAAGAAAGATTGGACTTGGTTTACGTTTGTAAGAAAGTGCCAAGATGAATGACTGGAAGTTTCATGAAACCAGTTTGGGCTCCGTATGAGGAAAAAGTTCTCAATCACAACTGTTTTCAAATAGAAAGGGGTGTCCTATCAGGTTCCCATATGGAAAATGGTCAGGGCAGAAGCTAGCCCTTCACCAATCAGAACTGTACCTGTACATTCATTGTAGTGGGAATAATAACCATTCAACCATATTGTTATGTGAATTAAATGAGATAGTGTTGCTCTGGCAGTTAGCATAGTGCCTGGCACATTGTAAATATCCGAGGAGTGGTAATTGTTGATACCGCTACAACCACTACTGTCTCCACCGCTATTATTGCTCTTGTTATTATGATTAATGGGGGCTTTAAATGTCGTTAAGAGGCTGGACTGTGTGATCTCTCCAGTTTCCATGATTGTTAGCTTATGCTTCTTTTGGTCTCTTTCACTCAGGAAGTTGAAAAGACTTAGAAATGGGAGACATCTTACATTGTAGGATGTGGTGTAGCTCTTCATGTGTTTATTATGCTAGCTCCTTTGACTATTCTATTATTTATTATTCTGTACTTTATTTAGAATGGTTTAACCTGTGTATAGTTCAGCTGTATTCTTTGTTAGTATAGTAATTATAGACTTCTGTTTATAAAGATGAAAAGGAGATGGGGATAAAGAAATGAAAAAGAGCTTCAAGTTTAAATACCAAGATCTTTTATTTCTCAGCTGGTAAACAGGTTAGATGAGAATTATTTTAGAAAAAGCGGCACCTTGTTTATTTTCTCGTGAAGGATTCATTCTGTTCTAAATTCAGACTTTGAGAGTTTTAATACTTGTTTGTAACTAACTCTTTTTCTTGAGAAAAGAAATTGAGTTCGGAATAAAACTGAGTTAGAAATAAAAAAAAAAAAATCACCATATTTTCCTCCAGGGCCAAAGAACAGAACTTGCAGAAGCAAGATAGGAACAAAACATCTATATGCAGGATATGTCTAAATGATGGGGGGAAAGTGAAAGCTATTATTTTTCCTATTGTAAAAATACGCTCTTGGCATAAACTATTTATATGACTAGAGACACATTTAATTGTAATCACCGTGTGCATTTATTGACGGTGAGGTCGGGCTGCACAGGACACATTAAAATTTTCGGCTTTATCAACATCTATGAGATAATAGGGACAACAAAAAGGAGCACGGAGAATTACGTCATAAAGAATGCAGAATCATAAATGGTTTTTACTCCAAAATCCCTGCTCGCTTCGCAGATGAAAAATGGAAGCCCTGTTGGAGTTTGGCTTCGTTTTTATTTGTTCCTCTACGTGTGCCCTGTACTTAGACTCCCTTCTCCTTCAAGGGTTTCCCCCCTTGCCTGTCGGCCTGCAGAGGCAATCAAGGCTGAACAATAGGTGCCTTCTTATTTCAAGTGGGCAATTTGCATTTCTGAGGAGCTCCTGACTAGATTGAACACATTTCGCCTCCACTTCTGCAGCTCAGGGGGACTTTCTAGACATTTGCCTCATCTTTAGCAGGGTAGGGTGTTGCTCAGCATTCACACTCCTGAGAAACATAAGGCACCTGCATTTGCACAAAGTCATTGTTTTTATTTCCTCTTAGATGCGGTTATTCATAAATTAAGAACTGTGGAGACTGAGAGTATAGATGTTTTCAGCTTGTCTGCTTGGTTGGGAAGAGAAGGAAAGAAATTGGAAAAGATGCAGGAATGAAGGATCAAAATATATTTTCTTTTTCAAGGAGGGGAGACATTAATACGCTTATATAGTGAGGGAACAGAGACAGTAGAGAAGGGATAGGAGATGCAGGTCAAGGAAGAGATGCAAGTTACTGTCCTGCTTACAGTTCTCCAGTCTTTTGGGACTGACACAGCCCTTTGAGTTCTGACTGTTCTTCACCTCTCTAGCCTTATCTTTAATCATCCTCCACATCACTTGAACTCAGCAGTGCAGCTGAACTAAGGACATTTCCTTGAGCATCATTGTATATACTGCCCAAATGCATTTCCTCCTCCTCCTCTTCCTTCTCCCCATTCTCCTCTTGTCTTCTTTCTTCCTTTTTTTCCCCCGCAAGGCCATATTTAACTCATCCTGAAAGCCTTGTTTGGATGATCTCTTTCTCTCAGAAATATTTTCTGACATCCCTCTTCTTAGCCAAAATTAGTCACTTCAACTTGAACTCCTTTAACATTATTTGTAGACTTTTATATTATTCATCACCTTATATTAAAATTTCCTATTTATTTGTCTTTCTCCCTACAGGTGGCCATTAATTCCTTGAGGCCAGTGAGTATTATTTGATAGGTAAGTGCTCATTAAGTGTTTATGAAACAAGGCAAAGAGTGGCACACCTGGGTATAATTGTACTTAAATGAACTTTTGCTTTCCTTCAGAGGCTATTGTTTGAACATCTCTTTGTTCTCCAGTTCTCCCCTAAAATAACTGCAGCCTTCGTGGTTATTGGGGGGAGCTGCTGGGGTACAGAGAGTGAGTACTCATATTGCCACTTGTTCTAAGGCTAAGGCAGGCACCATCAATTAATGGCCGCGCTTTGTCACACAACCTGGACACTACCTCTACGTGGTAGCTGCTATTAATGGATCAGAATGGCACTTGTAACAAAAGCTACTTGCTCTTCTCTTACTTCTCACAGGGTCTTATTTTTCTTAAATCTTTCCTAGATGCAACAGGAAACCTCCCTTCTTCTCTAAAACTGTGTTCTCTGGGTTTTTTAGGAATTCACCTGGCCATCTTCATGGGTGTATGATCTTCAAGCAATGAAACTCAGATGGATTTTCATTTTATTTAGCAATTTATGATTCTATTTATTTAGTAATTTAGTATAATTCTTTTACTCCTTATATATAAGCAGATAGTATTAGGCCCACTATTCAGAGGAGAGGGCTGGGAATCCTTACCCTTTTTAGAACAATTATAGCAGGGGAGATGTTGAAGGGGATGAAGGTGATATTGTACCTCCATAGAAAGATTACATTGTACTTACATTGGAAAAAATGTAAAGGAGTGAGGAATTCTTTAATGACCATTACCTTTTTCTTGATCTCTTGTTCTCCATTCCTCACTCCACACTTACAATTCAGTTTAATGAAAATGTATTGAGTACTTACTTGTGCCAAGGACTTACTGCACTAGGAGCAGGAGATACAAAAATGCATGAGACAAACAGCCCTCAAGGAGTTTTCAGTCTTATCAGGGAAGGTGTTAAGCACTAACGCAGAGGGATGCACAGGATGACAGTGGAAAACACGCTAATATTACTTGGTGTGATCTGCCCCATATGCCCAGATGTTTCTAGAATTCATGACATTTCATTTCAATGATTAAAGTTGCTTAGAATTTTTGAACTTAATCTTGATTCGTGTTTGTATATAGGATAATACCCTTAAATCATGGAAATTGTATGTGGGTAATACCCGTTATGGACTAAATTAAAAAGAATATTATAAAGAGGATGTATACTTATTTTCTGGGTCGAAGTTAGAAGTTAGAATTCAATAAGACTTAAGACTCTATCAATTTAGAAAATATTACTAATTCTTTTAAAAGACCATCAGGTTTTGTTGAGACTATAGAATTGCTTTGTTATAAGAGGCAAAAGACAAACTTTATTTAGAAAATTAAACACACAGAAAAGATATCTCCCCACCCTGTTTACTCTTGACTCAAATTGTAGCACAAGCATTAAAGAAAGCCTTGCTAAACTTATTGTGTTCTCTAGTGAACATTAAAATTAGCACCCATGTGACTATTATAAAAATGAGGAACAGAATGTTAACAATAAACCTTAGGAAGATTCTGATGCAGATAAGGCCAAATGTTTCATTTTTGTTATATAATGTAATGCTGTTACAACTTACTTGCAACATTATTCTACTCACGGAGGGCCCCCTAATTATTTCATCATGCAGCAGGAAATCCTGGTAGGTCATATATAAACAGCCTGAGGCAGGAACCTCTTCATCTGATAGAGTAGGACATCTGACATCTGTGCAGCCCGCTGCTCACCCGCCACAATTAGCCAGGAAGCTCAGACATTAACTAATGCAAAGGCAACTGGGAGTTTAGGATACAGTCAGGTAGGAAAGGTCTTTCCTAACCCAATAAATTCCTAAAAAGATGAAAACAAGACAGCAAATAGGTGACGATTTTCTGAGGAATTGAACCTTTGTGGTCTTTTTTCCTGTTTTCCAAGAAGCAGCAAGCCATCTTTCTTATCTCCCCTCCCTTTCTACTTCTCATGCATGCATAATTTCCCTTGACTTTGAATGGGACTTAAGTGCACTTAGAGGCTGCTGGATTTAGCTCTTGGCATTGTTTATGCTTACTGCTTGAGTGGGGGGTGGGAGTCCGTTTCTGGGCTCCACAAAGTAAATGAGGTCTAGCATGGAACTACAGAACGTGTTCAGGGACCCAGCCAGCACCTGCTTGATAGGCTAATTGTTTGTACCCGGCATTTATTGCTTATTATTCTGCTTGGAGGCAGTGGGAGATTTGCATTGTCAGGAATGTCACTGTGTTTTCTGATAAGAATATATAATTTTTGTATTTAATTTTAGTGTTTTTCTTAAACAATACTAACCGAGTACTTACTATGTGTTAGACACTATGCTTGACCTAGGGCTGAATAAGGCCATCTGTACTCAGGACTGAAGAAGACCATCTCTGCCCATGAACTTGGTCTCTTGAAGGAGACGACCACTTGAAGTAAATAACATGCAATTGTGGTGTCTTATAAACGGACTAAGAGTTGATAAGGAGGAAGCAACTAACCTAAGAGGAGAGTCAGGCATGATAGCATCTTGAGTGCTGAGTAGGTTTTTCAGGTTCACAAAGTGAAGAGTGTGTTAGACTAAAAGAGTAAAGGCATTGAGATACTGAAGAGCCAGGGATGTTTGAGGGAGCGCAGGGAGGATTACTACTGTGGGCTCACAGGCTGTGTGGAAGGGAGTGGAAGGAGATGGGACTAGAAATGTTGTCCCTGGATTTGGGGGTCCATGCTAAGGATTATTGTACAGGCAGTGATTAGCTTGATTCTCTGGGAAAGTTAATGGAAAATCATTGCTGGAATGATACTTTTGGAAGATTGTGCTGTGAGAAGCATGTGGAATAGATTGGAGAGGAAGAAAAGATTTGAGGCAGGAAGCCAGTGAGAAAGTTGTTTCAGTAGGGATTCCCCATGTTCATTTGTTGATTTCTTCAACAAATAATTGCCTAAAAAGGTTAAAAAAGATACCTTTGAATTTGATGTCTTGGTATTTTAAATGATACTGGGATGGCTTCAGGGTTAATTTCTTTATCCCCTCTTCTACTCCTCTACCCCATTCTCTTTTCTCCATTTCTGAGCCATCTGACACCAGAAGTCACTGAAATCACACACTCCTTTGAGGTTAAAGCTCTTGGCCAACATTCCAATGATTTCAATGCTATCCAAGTTCACTTTTTGAAGTCCATGGCTTGTTAGTAGTGATATAGTGGAAATTTGTTCGAAATAATCACTAGTGGGTTTATAAGACACGAAGAAGCCTAACAAGCTAAGGTTGGGAAATACATATGGTCCGTTAGGATTCTACCTTTTAAAAAACGAGGCTGCAGGAATCCGGTAAGGAGAAGTCTGTGGAATTCAGAACAATCATACTGTATTAATTATTATTCATCTTATATTGCTGCAAGTGTACACAATGTTATATAAATGGTTGACAGTGTTGGCGAGAGAATAATATCCCAGCCCTGGAGTGCTTATAATTTATGTAAACATACTCTTTTATTTTGTTTTTCTAAGCCATATCTCTGAATTGTGATTCTGCTTATTTTGCTCATAGTCATATTTCATCTCTGGTTCTCGTATAAACTACAAAAAATGAGTTGTTTTAGGAATAGCACAAGTTATTTCAAAATAACAGTTCTCCTCCATAATACTAGAATTGTCACAATGGGAATTCTGAGTTCAGAGCCACTTCCTGGTTGGGGTCCTCCTGTGTATGTGAAATGAGAAAAAGGGAGTATGTATATTTAAGGTCCTCTGGAGATGAATGGGGCTAGAAGAGTATAGTATTATTAGGAGTTTTCTTAGTAGAATATTAAACTTCTTTCCCTCTAGTGAACCAAAGGACTTATATGCATATATGCATAGCTCATGGACACAGACACTAATATGGTGAAGGCCTGGGACAAGCAGGAGTCGGTGGATGGGGACATTTGTAATACTCTCAACCATAAAAATAAACTGAAAAAAGATTGTCTCTAAAAGTGTTTTTGCTGCTAAGAACAGAGGAAGCCATGTAGAGAAGATTCATAGCAACATTTATTACTACCCTAAATTCCTTCCAAGTTCTGCCTTCTGATCGTATTGTGAGTCCAGCAGGTTCAATGGTCTCCACCAGTATGCATTCATGCTATATTACTGCTGCATTTCACCTTGCCCACAAAAATTTTTAAGCTGACTTAGTTTAGAAGCAGACTGATTGACTTATATAGCCTCACAGGTTTTTGTGAAATAGCAAAAAGCATCCCACAGACTGGCAAATTCAACATTAATCTGGTAGGACAGAAACTTCTGTTTTTATTACAACTACACATATTGTTTCACTATCTTTTATTTTATTATTTCAAAGCATTTGGAAGACACAGTTTAGACTTTGACACAACCTGTATTAGTCTCCGAAAAGCTTTTTCTTAAAGTCAGGAACAAAATGTGTGACTAAATTTGGAACCTCTAATTTGAAGGTCCTGCAAAATATGATCAATAATCATATCTATTTTCTGAGATGAAATATGAAACTCAGAAAAGGAGTTTATTTTAATTCCCTTAATATTAAGTTGGCCCTTAATTGTGAGGCATTATACTAGGCACTATTGATGCCATGACGAATAAAACAAATATATTCCCTAAGCCGGTGGGTGTGCATAATATGAACTGACAATCATACTAATTTATAAAAGTGTTTTGATAGAAATACAGAATAAACCATGAAAGTTATTTTAAGGTTCTGAACTCATACTTGATGATCAGGAAGGACTTCCCAGAGGAAATGATGTGATCTAAAAAAATGAGTGGGAGTTAGATAAAAGGGAGAGTTGGGAGTTTGGAGAGGATTCCAGGTACAGGGAAGAGAAACATTTAGAGGCAAGTGAAATCCTGGTAGGCAATCTAGTGTGGCTTGAATTTAGATTGCAAAGATATGGATAAGGGGGAGGGAGAGCTAAACAATAGCCAAATTATTCAACATCATGTAAGCCCAGATAACATATTGGGACCGTGTGCTAAAACAGGGGCTCTAAACTTG